ATCACACTCAGCTGGCTTGGACAGAGAGTCTGAGACAGAGCCTTTGTTATCATTCTTTGCTGTTCTATTGTTAGCTAGCCTTCTGATGAAATCCTTTCTTCTATTCTTTTAGTATAGTTTTAATGTAATATATATCATAAAATAATAAATCAAGCCTTCTGAAACATGGAGTCAGATCCTCGTCTCTTCTCTCATCCTCAGACCCTTGTGATCACTGTCACACACCCTCCATCAGCCCTGCTCCCCTCACTGCCACTGGGGAAAGCTGTGACCAGCCCAGCTGTGCTCCCAAGGGAAGCAAACTCACACTACTCAGCATTTCACAATGTTTTTTCCACTGAAACAGAAATTCTCACGCTGAAAACAGAGATTCTCTGGAGGAGAAACGATTTGGGAGAGTCCAAACCTAGAGCAAAGCAGAAAGTGAGACTCAGCAAAACCCACCACTTCTGCTTCAGAGGCTCAGCACAGCCCTGCCCTGGCTTTCTCTGACAGAAACACACCACAAGCAGGGTATTTAAAGCATTAAAAAAAAAAAACAACTCAAAACTCTGACTTGAACCCAAACAAGAAACTCCATTGCATGCACTTCCTCCTCTGGGAGAAGGTGAAAAAACAAAATAAACCTGTGTGAGTGCTGCTGGTCACCCTGCTGAGGGTGCTGCTGCAGGAAGGGGCTGTGCTGAGCCGTCCCACAGCTCCCAGGGTGTGATGGTGTTCACAGGGGTCTGAGGATGAGGGAAGAGACGAGGATCTGACTCCATGTTTCAGAAGGCTTGATTTATTATTTTATGATATATATTACATTAAAACTATACTGAAAGAATAGAAGAAAGGATTTCATCAGAAGGCTAGCTAACAATAGAACAGCAAAGAATGATAACAAAGGCTCTGTCTCAGACTCTCTGTCCAAGCCAGCTGAGTGTGATTGGCCATTAATTAGAAACAACCACATGAGACCAATCACAGATGCACCTGTTGCATTCCACAGCAGCAGATAACCATTGTTTACATTTTGTTCCTGAGGCCTCTGAGCTTCTCAGGAGGAAAAATCCTAAGGAAAGGATTTTTCATAAGAGATGTCTGTGACACAGTGGAGCCAACACTCCAGGATTTGTACATTTGTGAGGGCACACCCAGCCTGTTTCAGTGATTACATCACTCAGAGCTGCAGGAGCTGGAGCCCCCTGGCCCAGGGCACCAGGGCAGGGATGCCCTCACTCAGCGTCCTGCTGGCTCCAGGGGCTCCACCTGCACTCCAGGGCAGGAGCAGAGCCTAATCTGAGCCAAGCTCATCATGGCCAGCTCAGCACAGGAGTCACAGCAGCCTTGGGGCCAGAGAGGCACACCTGGCCTTTGAAGCTCCCCCAGTGGGTGGGGTGGGGTGACACCATGGGGTGACAGTGGCTGTGTCACCCCAGCGGCCCCAGGGCAGCCCCAGAGCACGGGGGAGAGCTGACAGGGCAGAGAGGAGATCAGATAAGCTCAGCAAGAGCTCCACCAGCCCCATAATCCTCCTGCTTTTCATCCCTCATCGGGATCCTGCAGCTGCCTGCCTTCACACCGAGCCTCCATCCCTCCTCATCCTCCACCAGAGACCACCTCGGTGCCTGCCCCTGCCTGGTGGGCACAGCCTGGTGCCCGTGGTTTCGGGCCTGTTGGAGATGCAGCAGCTCAGGGCACCTGGACTCCCATCCCCTGCGTCCTCTGCATCCCCACTGAGCTCCCGCTCCAGCCCCTGCACCACCCAGAACATCTCCAGCACCACCCAAAACAACTCCAGCACCACCCAGAACAGCCCCTGCACCACCCAGAACAGCCCCAGCACCACCCAGAACAGCCCCAGCACCACCCAGAACAGCCCCAGCAGCACCAGGCAGATGCTCCTCACCCCAGAGAGGTGCAGGTGCCCTGGGAAGAGGGGAGGGTGTCTCTGTGCCCCCTCCTCCTCTGTTTAATGTAGCTCTGGGGTGCCAGGGCAGTGCCAATAACCCCCCCAAAAGAGTCCAAGGTGTTTGGTCCAAGGGTCCAAACCCTCCTGGATTGTTCCTCCTCTCCACTTGTGGAGCTGGATGCGCTGGGGTCCCAGGTGCCCTTTCAGGCCTCTCTGAGGGCAGTTAACCCCCCAGCAGTGCTGCAGATGTCCCAGGGCACCATTCAAACCACCCAGTGCCCTCAGGTTCTCCCTGGTTTCTGTCTCCCAAAGAGGGTGACTTCCAGCCCCTGATTTACCTTCCCCGTGCCACTCACTGCCTCCTTTTTCATCTGCAGGCATCATATCCTCCCATATTTATCTCATCTCCAAAATAAATGTTCCCCCTCATCCTTCAGTCTCATCTGCAAGGTTTGTGGTGTCTCCAATAATTTTTGTTTCCTATCTCCTGACCCCTTCCATTCCTGCTGTATCTTTTTGAGATGGATTGACTGGAAAGGAACATGCCACGCCAGGCAGGACCTCAGCACTGATTTATGGGCTGGCATTAGAATACACTCAGCAACCTTTTTAACCCCATTTTTCCTCAAATTTCCTTTGCTTGTCTGGTGGTGGCCGTACCCCAGAGCGGGGATTTGCACATGGATGCCTCTGCTGATGCTTCTCCCCCCTTCCCAAACATTCACAGCTAATTTGGAACCCATCATGGGCTCCCTCCCACCTGCAGCACGCTTTGCATTCTCCTCTCTGCTGCCCAGCCCTCCGGCTTTATCAGGGAAAACCCCTGGGATGTTTTCCACCTCTTCTCTTGACAAACCAAAGGCATTTGCAAGTTTTGCTGTTCACCCATTCTCTTTTTTCCCCCAGCTCATAAACGACTGCATTACACAGCACCATGTCCCCAACACATCCCTGCGGTAAACCTGCAGCAAAATTCTTTTCCCCGTTGGTTTCAGGTGGTTTCTCCCCTCATCAGAGGCTTCTCCTTCTCCCAGCGCTCCCATTTTCCCAATTTCAGCCCAAGTGGCACAAAGGGCACTGAGGATTCCCCTGGTGAGGCCACAAAGGGGAGGCTGAAATCTTTTCTGTCCTCTTTGCGATTTAAGATTTCAGGCAAAACAAAGACAAAGGATGGGGAAGAGGGTGGGGAACACTGATGTGGATTTGGGCTCCATCTTTGGGTCCCCATTTCCGTCCAAAATCCTGCCCAGCAAGGGGGTTCCCGTTCCTGCTGGGCAAAGCTGGCAGCAGAACTGGCTGCTGCAGGCAGATCTCCACTCCAAGCTCTCCGTGTTTTTCCAAGAAATGTGTTTCCCCCCTCTCCAGACATGTTTTTATTCAAATCAGTATCAGCCATTCTGCGAGATATTTGCCTTCCTGCATTTATTTCCCAATAACAAAGCTGTCCTCAGCTTTTTAGAGCTGCTATTTTTATTTTATTTAGTTAATATTTTTAAACATTACTACTGCTATAATAAATGTTAACTATTTGTGCTGAGCTCTCATTGCCTTGGCAGGGGCCTTTATGTGTGCAAAATAACAGCAAATCATAATAAATAATAATAATAAATTATTATGGTTGATTACAAGGGAATGTGCTACATTTTTATAAGCTCTAGACCACCTACAGCTCACAAAATATAATGGGAAACATTAAGCCTTTAACTGGTTTTATACATTCCCTTCCCCCTCTTCCACTCCCCATGTTCTGTAATAGATTTACAAACAGTGCAAGGGGGGAAAAAAACCTTCCCTTATAAGAATAGCATCAAAATTCTCCTCAGCTTTCCAGCTGCTGAGTGTTTCTGAAGCCTTCAGTGAAATGCAATTAGTATCTTTTACCGCCTGCCTTCTGGGGATACTGACATTATTATCTTATTGCAGTTTCACCTTGACATGCAGATCACAAGGCAGCGAGCTGGATTCTGTCTCCAGACGCCTTGAATTGTGGCATTGCCCCAGCTGGCTCAGCGAGTCGAGAAAGGAGAAGGAGGAAAAAAGGAGAAAAGAGCCATTTTCTCATTTTTCTCATCGTGTGGAGCTCAGCTTAAAAAAAAAAAAAAAAAAAAAAAAAGAAAATAAAAAAATAGAAAAAAAAAAAGCCCAAAAAATGCAGATAAATACAGGGAAATGGGAGCTGTGGGGGGAAAAAAGTGTGTTCCCTTTCAGCTCCAAGGAGGATGGGCATGGCCAAGGGGGATCTGCTCTGTGCCAGCCCTGGGCTGCCAGCACAGGTCTGGGTTTCCAGCAGGAGCTGCTGCCCTCCCCTCCAGCTCCCAGCAGGGCTCAGTTCCACATGGAAGCAGTCCCAGATCTCTATTGCACTGCAAAAGGGAAGGGGGAAAAGGAGGAAAGGAAAGGATGAGAGCAGGAAAACCCCAGCATCCGGACTGCTTCAGAGGTCAGGAGTGATCAGAGGGACACCCCTGCCATCCCTGTCCCTGCTGGTGAGGGTGGCCCTGTCAGTGGGGGACGGCTGCAGCCTCACTTTTCTTGTCTGAGGCTTTTTCTGATCAGCAAAATGTGACATTAACCTTCAGAATATCCACCTGGAAGGCTCAGCTTTCCTCCTGCTTCCAGGCAGCATTTTCCACCCTACACAGCAGTTTTGGGAAGCCCTGAGCCTGTGTGTCCCCATTCATCCCTGCAGCATTTTGGGTGGGAGCAGCAGCCTGGAACCTGCCCTGGAGAGGTGGGTGAGGATTGGATCTCACCCATGTGTGCATGGTCTCCTCTAAAGCAACCAAACCTTGGAAGCTTCCAATATCCTTGAGTTTAAAGCAATAACCTCACTGTTAATCTCACTGAGCACTGATGGACCACAGCTGGGAAGCAATATTTAATGGGAATGCACAAAATGGATGGAGGGAACCAGGGTGGCCTCACCTTCCTCAGGTGTGACCCCAGGCAGATGTGGTGACCCCTGTGTGACAAATAGCTACTCACTTTTCATAGTTTAGGAAGGTTTGTTAAACCTTAGCAAAAATACAACAGAAGACTGAATAAAGAAAAAAGTTACCGCACGGGAGCAAAAGATTTTCCCTGCCATGTGCTCAGCCCTCACAATGGAAGTTTTTTTCCTTTTTAACCCTTTAACCCCTCCCAAAGTTCTATCCACCAACCCCTTCTTCACTGTCCAGTGTGGAGATCTCTTCCTCAAACCCTGACTGGAGCTCAGGTGTTCCACAGTGACAATCTGACCCTCCCAGATGTCCCCAACCCCAGCTGACCCTTGATAATCACGTGAGGGGGTACAACATAATTATAAATCTATGAAACTTTTCTTAACCTATACACATGATATTTATCTGTTAATTATGAGAGTCAACCATCCCATTTCTCATCTATCATACCAGAGGAGGAGCCAGGGATGTGGTTCAGGTGCAAGGCCTGTGCTGGAGCTGTAGGAATTGTGTTCCAAATTACAGATGGAATCAGCTGAAAATCCAGCCTGTTCCCTGCTTTTCTTCAGCCCATTGTTGTCTCTTATTACTCTTAATTAACACTAATTCTCTGCATACAATGCCAACAGTCTCATACCCCTGAGAATCCACTGTGTGATCATGTTCGAGCATTCAGATCTCTGTACCCCCAAGGGGGATGAGCCAGGAAGGCTCACAGGAGTCACACCCAGGGATATCCCTCCAGAACTGCCTTTCCCATCCAAGTTCAGGCCCTTTTCACTCCAGCAGGGAGCTTTTAATCATCCCAAATTCCTCCTCTGGACTGGCAGACAGGGTTTGGGACCAGCTGAGCTTTAAGGCCCCTTCCAACCCAAACCATTCTGAGGTTCTGTGCAGAGGGAAGGGAAAGCTTTGAGGTGCTTGGCTATGTCCATTCCCTCACCATCCAAACCCAGAGAGGTGCACAAGAACATTTCCAACCTCCCAGTGCCCCTGATGCCTCCCCTGTGATGGTGTTCACAGGGGTCTGAGGATGAGGAAGAGATGAGGATCTGACTCCATGTTTCAGAAAGCTTGATTTATTATTTTATGATATATATTATATTAAAGCTATACTGAAAGAATAGAAGAAAGGATTCCATCAGAAGGCTAGATAAGAATAGAAAAAGAAGAAATGATAACAAAAGGTTTGTGGCTCAGATAGAGAGTCCAAGCCAGCTGACTGTGATTGGCCATTAATTAGAAACAACCACATGAGACCAATCACAGATGCACCTGTTGCATTCCACAGCAGCAGATAACCATTGTTTACATTTTGTTCCTGAGGTCTCTCAGCTTCTAAGGAGGAAAAATCCTAAGGAAAGGATTTTTCAGAAAATATCATGGCTACACTCCCCTGCTCCTGGCCAGCCTGCTGGCTGTGGGCTGGCACTGCAAAACTCACAGCCCTGTCTGCCCAATGCAGCAGCACCACATCCATCCCAAAGCTGCACCTCCTCATCAGGGTAAGGGAATAAAACCACAAAACCCAAGTCATATAAATGTCATCTGGACCAAAACAGAGCTTCCAGCTAATGCCAGAGACCACAGTGCCTCTCTGGAGAGGAAATTTGGTGTCCTAATGTACTAAAGGCACCATCAGAGCAGGATTGTAGGACCCCAAGCATCACCCCAGCTCCCTTGCCTTGTCCCATGGTGGTTTCTGACAAATAATCACAATAGCCCAGCCTATGACACTCTCATTTTTCTGTCCAAATGGGGTTGGGGTTGTAAAAGAGGCACCATGCAAGGAATCCCTCTCTTGGAATGTCTGTACTTTTGTTTTAATTTAAAAACATTTGGAAAGAAGGGATGGTTAAACAAAGAAACAAATACTAAATAAACCTCCTTGTTTTTCTGATGTTAAACTGGCATGGGCAGGCTGTAAGAATTAGTGATTCCAGAGAGCAACTGGCTAATTTCCAAGGGAATAGAGAGAGAGGGAAGAGAGGAACAGCAGTAATTTACAGCTTAGCCTATTTGTATTTTCTCTTTACAGCTCTCATCTGGATTACCAAATGCAAATTATTTATGATATTTCATTGGCAAACCCCTTTAGTGCGCTGGTATGTGAAATCCCTTCCAAAATCCCAGTTTTTCGGCTAAGGGGCTGCACACCTCTTGGTTTTACTTAGAAAGGTGAATGTTCCTCCAAGATTTGGGTGAGCACCATCACCTTTACACTGCCACAGGACATCAGCAGCACAGCACAGAGCTCATTTCTCTTTGGCACCACCACACAGAGCTCCTGAACTATTGTTTGCTCCTCTTGTTGTGATCATCGTGTGGATGCAACGGGAATGCAAAAGAACACAGCTGGTATTGAGACTGTTGCTTTCAAGATTCTAGGAGAGGATCAAATGAAGGAGAAAATTAAATTAAAAAAGCAGCACTTAATTATGGAGGCTGCTTTTGTGCTCTCTCCTTCCTCTGTGTAGTAGTTTCCACCTGAAAATCTTTAAGTGCTTTAGAGCTGGTAATTAAATCTCATAACTACTGCAGAGAAGGATGCAAGGGAAGCATATGCAGCTCACTTGATTTGTCTGTTTGATTATACATTAACTTTGCATCTCTCCAGCCTCCTGCTCTGCCAGGACACTCCTTGCAGTTAACTCAAGCTCCGCAGAATGCTTGCAATGCTGTCCCTCAGCGAGGGATTCTGCTAAAAATGGAATTGTAAATGGGATTGGTGGAAGCTGGATGGTCCTGCTGGCGCTGGGGAAATGTTCTGGGGCAGCCACAGTGCCAGGAGCCCCCCTGCCCTCCCTGCTCTGGGCACCCCACCTGCAGCAGCAGCAGCAAAGTGCTGCTCCCAGCATTTCCTCTGCTCATGGGGACCCACCCTCTGTGGTGGCCAAACCTGATGTGAGGGTGGTGGCTTGGGAAGCTGGGTCACCTCCCTTCCTCCACTGGGGATGTTTGAAACCAGCAGCTGGGTCAGAGTACAACCTAGGGCCACCAAGAGCCAGATTTATCCCTATCAAAACCCACAGGATGATGCTCAGAGATGCCCAAATCCTGTGGACACAGGGCTTGTAAATTCACAGTTCCAGGGCACAAACCCCTGAGCTGAGCTCGTCATGGGCCAAACACCTCATCAGGGAGGGCTCCTCTATCAGGGTGGATCTTCCCCTTTTCAGCAGGCCTGGAGCTGGGATCCTCCCTGCCAGGACAGCTCTTTTGGGATCCTCCCTGCCAGGACAGCCCTTTTGGCACCACTGCAGCCCCAGTCATCACCACATTGCTTCAGACAGGGCTGCCCTGGTGGCATTTGAGAGAAGCTGTTGAAGAGCAGCTTCAGCAAATGTGGTTTAAGATGTTATTTTCAGAGAGCAAGGAAAGCACGGGGTGATGCTCATCTGGCAGTCCAAAGCACTAACAGAATTCTGGCGGTGGATCCCAGAGATGATGAAAATTAAAATGTCCTTGAAAGCATAATCAGAACTGTGGCTGGCACGGATGCTCTTGCAACACCCAGACATCTCTAAAGAGGGAGAATCTTCTGGGAAAATGCAGTTTCATGGCATGAGAAAGCCCAGCTCATGTTTTCATCCTCCTGAAATGAAATTGTTTTTGCTTCTCCTGGCTTGCTCCTCATGCAGGAGCCTCTGGGGAGGCTGAGATGGAGAGGGCACCAAAGAGCATCTCATGGTGGCCCAGGGGAGCTGTGGAATCAGCAAGGCTGGAGCCTGAGCTCACAGAGGAGACACAAAGTGGAGAAAAGGAGACTCAGGGCTGCCCTCATCACTCTCACAGCTCCTGAAAGGTGCCTGTGCTCAGCTGGGGCTGGGCTCTTTCTGCAGGAACTGACAGAACCAGAGGACACAGCCTCAAGCTGCACCAAGGGAAATACAGGCTGGATAGCAGGGAAAAGTGTTTTACAGAAAGGGTGATAAAGTTCTGGAATGGCTGCCCAGGGAGGTGGTGGAGTCCCCATCCCTGGGTGTGTTTAACAAAGCCTGGATGTGGCACTGGGGGCCAGGGTTTGGGTGAGGTGCTGGGGCTGGGTTGGACTGGATGATCCTGAAGGTCTCTCCCAACCCAGCGATTCTGTGAATTCTGTGATTCTGTGGAAGGGGACAAGATGTCAGCAAGGGACACTGCACAGCCTGGATGTGACATCAGCCCTGGCTGCAGGGTCCCTGCCCACAGGAATCAGCAGCTGGAAGGATCCATTTCATCCCCAGTGTTCTCCAACAGTGAGGAAATACTTCAGGAGTCAACAGATACCTGACATTTTTAGTGGTGCAGGAAGGTTCTATGGTTTTATATTTTGTTTTGGATACCAAAGGCCTGATTTTTTTTCCTTATTTATTCCAAGAAAAGCAGGGCTAACCCAGCTGGTCTGGTCAGGAGGGTGCTTCTCTGTGCCACCAAAAATACTCAAATGGAGACAAAAACCACAGTCACAGTATTTTGTGTAAAACAAAATTTAAAACTGGAGAGGACAGCAAACAACAATTAGTATTGCTAATGAGAGCCTTTGTAAGCTTTCTAAACATTACTATAATACATTTAAAATCTGACTGTAAAGAAAAGAAACCTGGAGTGGGCTAAGAATGTCAGAACAGATGTTGTTCCTCCTCCTTTCAGAGAAAAGTTTTGCCAACCATTCTGAAATGAGATTTTGCTGAGCTCAGTGTAATTCTATGAAGAGCTCCAGGTGAATTGAAACAACCTTTTCCCCTGGAAGCTGTTCCAACAGCTGAGCTCCCTGAAGGAGCAGCTGTGGCTCTGGAGCCTGGCCAGAGGCAGAGGGACAGAGGGACAGAGGGATAGAGGGATAGAGGGACAGCCCTTCTCTGCTCACAGCACCTGGGTCAGTCCTTGCAGGAACATTTCTCTCAGACCCATTTTGACAACCTTGGGTTTGGGGTTTTTTGGTTAATTTTTTGGTTGGTTGGTTGGTTTTTTCCCCCTTCCTGCCCTCAAACATAATTCTCATGTACAGGACCAGTGGAAGGGACAGATCATTCTCCTGGCTGCATTATGGGCAGAGGAACTCGGCTCATGCCTGGGGAGATCAGGAGGCCAAGCCCGGTCTCCAGCAGCCCTGCAGGGATCCCCTGGTGTGCTGTGTCCTCTTCCTCCTCCACACAACCCCTCAGCTCCTTCCCAACCCCTTCTGGGACTGGAATCCCATGGGAA